CTAGAACCATTCGGTGTCCTTTCCTTATTAAATGGTATTGGCACCCTTATTGAATATCACTTGGATATCTATCTATCTATCTAAATTTATTTTTGGGTTTTTTATTCTATTCTATTTGTCTGGCCTGTTTTTGTACCAGTACCAGATTGTTTTCATTATTATGCCTTTGAAAATAGTAAGTGTATAGCCTAAAACTTTTTCAGAGTGTTTTTTGCTATGCAGAGAGCCTTTGAGATTTTTATATGGATTTTAGAGATTTTTGCAAAGATCATCTTTGGAATTTTGATAGTGTGTGTTTGTAGATCACTTGGGATTGTATTGACTTCTTAATAACAATACTTAATAATACTTAATAACAATACCCAATAACAATGCTGAGTTTTGTAGTCCATGGACATTGTATATGTTTCCATTTATATATTTGAGTTTTTAAAACTGTTTTAAGTTCATTCCTAGGTATCTTTGATGCTATTTTAAATGGAGTTTCCTTTTTTTCAATGATTGTTAGTATAAAAATGCAACTGTTTCACGTTGATTTTGTATTCTGTAACTTGCTGAATATGTTTATTTGTAAGTACTATTTTTTTTCTCTTTTTCTTCCTTCCTCCCTCCTCCTCTCCCTCCCTTCCTTCCATCTTACTTTGTAGTCCAGGGTGTCCTTTATATCAGAATCCTCCTGCCTCAGTCTTGTTGAGTGCTGGAGCTATAGGCATGTGTCACAATGCCTAGCTTTAATTACATGTAAGTCAGCTTATGAGAATTTTTAGATGAGTGGGCAACTTACAGTTAGGATGTATACAAGTTCTTCGATTTCTTAGCAAACCTTTGCTTTTTAAATATGGAGGTGGTATGATTATAATTGAAATGTGTGTGTATGTTGCTGCAGGTTGAACCTAGGGCTTGTGCATGCTAGCCAAGGTAATCTGCTATTGAGCTATATCCCCAGCCCCTATATTTGTTATTTCTATAAGGAGATTTATTTTACATATATTGTCTTACTTTTTGCTATGGTCTGCGTGGGTCCCCTTGAAATTCTTTTATTGTACCCTAACCCCCAGTGTAATAGTATGGAGACAAGGCCTTTTAGGGCAGTCATGGCAGAGAAGCCCTCATGAATGTCCTTCAGGTCCTTGTGAATGAGGCCTTGAGCTTACCTGGAAGCTTGTTTCCACCATGTAAAGGTGCAACATTAGGATGCCCTCTCTGAACTATAAAACGGTGTGAAATCTGCTTGCACCTTGTTAGATTTCCTTATCTCCAGAACTATGAGAAAGAAATTTCTGAATCATTCATGAACCACCCAATTTCTGATTTTTGCTGAAACAGCCCAAAATGGCTGAGACATGTTTCTTGTTGTTTTGCTTATGATAAAAAGACCAGTAGTTCTGAGACCTGTAAAAGTTGGCTTCAGTTTTATTTATTTATTTATTTATTTATTTATTTATTTATTTATTTATTGTGGGGAATCAAACTCAGGACCTTGTGCTTGCCAGGCACGTCCTGTGCCACTGAACTCTATCAGCAGCCCTGTGCTTGAATTTTAGACTTTGAGAAGACTTGAACATGTGGCTTTGTTGTAGGGTAGATGATAAGGCAGGTGAGTATGATCAAAATACATGCACTGAACCCCCACCATGTAGGTAGGGGTGGCCAGGCGTGGTGCTGATGGGGCTGAAAATGATTTTACTAGCTTACAATGGGTGTATATGTATGTGTACGTGTGTGTACACCATTGTGCCCTGCTTTTTATTTTTGTTAACCACCTTGCTTTGCCATGAAAAGTTATTCCGTGTTCAGGTACCCTCAGTTAGTTGTGCACACCTGTCTAAGCATATATGAAGCTAGCGCAAAAGGGTCTCTTTTCTTTCTCTTTTTGTAGATATAGAGTGAGCCAGTAGTTACTTATGTGAGATAGCTAACTATTTGAGAGGTATGACTCAAAGCACGTAAAAAGATTATATATTTTAATATTTTTAAAGTGAGATTGAAAATGATAATTAGGAAAGTCCTGTCTTAAAAGAAGAAATTTATTGGTGTATAAACTGAAAATACTGAGTTGAAGCATGGCTGGCTTTGGGGGCTCTAATAATGTCATTAGGAATCTACTGTCTTCTGATTTATTCCCTCCCCCATCTTCTAATTTATATTGTGCTTTATTTTCTACCAAACTTTCCTAAAGAATGACTGTAATAATGACCAGAAGACTTCTGTAGCCAGGCCCTTCTTTAAATAGCCTCAACCAAAGTTAATAGCATTAATGAATATAGTACGATCAACGTATGCTGTGAATCTTCCCTTCATCTGTAGAAGCAGTATGTGCTAATTAAAAAAAAAGGTGTGGAAAAAATCCCAGGCAATATTTCAAATTGATGATCTCTCTCTCTCTCTTTTTTTTTTTAAATAAGACACGGGGCAGGTGAGATACCTCAGCAGTCTAAAGCACCTGCTTAGGCAAGTTTAAGCACAGAGACCTGGGATCAATCAACTTTGGTTCAATCTCCGGCACCATATGTTGTGCCAGCCACAAAAAAAGAAAAAACAAAACAAAACAAAAAAAGAAAACACTAATTGTCGTATACAAATGGAAAGAAATTTTTCTTACATGATATTCAAGTAAATCTGAAATAGATTTTAATTTACCCGGTCATAAGTCTAGTCGTAGAAGAATCCCTTGGTAGTGTAATAAATTTCTCAGTGGACTCTTGAGTCAGTTGTCAAGATAAGTGATTCTAATGCATCAGATAGGGGTTTAATTATCTCCTAAATGGAGAGCATTAGACTAGAAGAATACAGATGGTTTTTGCCCTTTGAAGGGTAACTTAATTTCAGTTATATTGATAATGCAATATCTCCTCTTTCTGCTGCTATTGTGTTTTGAATTATATAGGAAAATGCTTCGTAAAACCTCTGTATTCAGGTTTAATTGCAGTGTTAGCATTTTGAAATAAATAAGTGGGTGTGGGGTTGCATTTTAGGCACTCAGTCCCTGGTTTCTACAAGGTTCGACATCACTGAGGTAGGGGTGGGTGGGTGGAGTATAAGAAACCTAATCAAACAGCAAAATGGGGCTGGGGAGATGGCTCAGTGGAATAAGTGCTTCCCTGGCAAGTGCAAGGCCCTGAGTTCAATCCCTCGTTCCTCCAAAAAAAAAAAAAAGATTCAAACAGCAAAATGATTTGGCCTTAAAGGCAGGGTATTTTTGGTAAATTGGGATTTTACAAGGAAAACATAGAAATGATTAGATCATTGAGAAACCTAACTAAAATTTGATTAAGGGAAATTATGTTTAACATTAACAGACACAATTTTTATTTATTTATTTATTTTTTTTTTATGAGCAGAATATATTTATTGAGAGAAAGAAAGCTCCTGTCCCAACAGAGGGACAAGAGGGGGGCCCGAGTGGGTAGTTCCCCGGGAAGCTGTCTCTTCCAGGGACTTCTACAGTGTAAAACCATGTGAGGCTAAGATAGAATGAGAACTCGCTTAGGTGGGCAGGAGGTGGGACAAAACTATGGTCAACCAATGGGATTACATATGGGACAGGGTCTTTTCCTGTTGGTTGGAATGCGGGATAGGATCTCTTTCTGTTGGGGATTGGGCTAGTGAC